CATATCTATCAACCTGTGTCAGTTCATATATTTCTATCTATAGTTCTATCTGTCTATCTAGGTCGGTCCATATCTATCTATCTATCTATCTATCTATCTATCTATCTATCTATCTCATTTCATATCTATCTATCTATCTATCTATCTATCTATCTATCTATCTGTCTGTCTGTCTGTCTGTCTGTCTATATCAATTATCATCTATCTAGGTCGATTCATATCTATCTATCACTCTCTCTCTCTCTCTCTCTCTCTCTCTATATATATATATATATATATATATATATATATATATATATATATATTTAGGTCGGTTCATATCTATCAACCTGTGTCAGTTCATACATATCTATCTATCTATCTATCTATCTATCTATCTATCTATCTATCTATCTATCTATCTTCTCTCTCTCTCTCTCTCTCTCTATATATATATATATATATATATATATATATATATATATATATATATGCATATATATATATATATATATATTATTTAGGTCAGTTCATATCTATCAACCTGTGTTAGTTCATACATATCTATCTATAGTTCTATCTATCTATCTATGTTGGTCCATATCTATCTATCTATCATTATATATATATATATATATATATATATATATATATATATATATATATATATATATATTCAAAGGCTAAAACCCAAATAAAAACTCTGCCTCTGTTTTAAGATTACTCTTCGTTATTTCTTTTTTCCTTTCAGTCAAATCTTGTATTCATACACCTGTTCTTTGATGCACGACTTTTATTAGAGACTTCTCTTTACTTCTCTCTTACAATAACTCTCTTTCCCTTTCTTTTTCACCCTCTCAATCAATCACGCTTTCTCTCTCTCTCTCTCTCTCTCTCACTTAGGCATGACCTCTTCTTTGACCTTCCAAATTATAGCCCTATGGCTCTAGCTTTTATCATTGACGACTTTGCATCATCAAACATCGAATATCTTCTACTTTGCCTTCTGATTTTGCCACATTGGCACCGTGATATCAATGACCAATTCCTTTTCTGGGGGTAGAGCACTACCGATAATATACTCCGGTAACACTGGTCTTCTTGTTCTAAATCCAAACATTTGGTCTCTATGGCTTTCGGAGCTTCGCTGTCTTCGAGCAGAATCTTTCAAGCAAATGGTCTTTTGCCAAAACTAAAATATCAAGTTTTGGACCCGAAATTCTCATCATAGTTTCTTTGAAATCCTACCCCAGGGCCGGCAACTAAAAAGACAAAACATAAAAGATCAGTGTCTTTTTTTATGGTGGGAGGCGGGTGCTGAGTGAGCTTTGACTCTGTCCACTACTTCTTTGGTGATCTAAAATAAATATAATTGCGCCACTATGCAACTAGAAGACATTTTCTTTGAAATCGTAGAAAAGGGTATGGAGAAAATTTATTGAATTATTTTCATTCGATTGCGCCAATAATAGATTTTCAAGCCAAGATAAAAAAAAAGTAAATATTTGAATGGCGTACCTAATCAGACATGCTTTGAAATAGTGTCGCTATACAATCTTTTTTTAATTTGGTTTAAGCGGGACGATGTACACCCTTGTGAAAATTAAGTGAAACAACACGAATAATTCCGATATTACTTTTTTTTCCACGAAGTCATCTCTTGCAGATTGACCACACATTATCGACTGGATTTAAATGATGGCAGTTTCCGGGCCAGTCTATAGTACTTTGATTTGCTCACTTGTAAGGCTTGCCAGTGTGTTTGTGCAGCTGTCGAGCTGTCTTGGAGTAATGTCCATCGCAACCAATTGCTGTTGGACAAATAATCAGCAGTCGAGACAATAGTGTCTGGGTGTGATGACAATCTGATGCAATCACGGATGACGCAATATTTTTCAAGGCCGAATAAATTTCATCATACACCACAAAAGATTCATATTACTAGACACAACTGCAAATGACCTAATCTGATAGACACCCTATTACTCCAGTGGGGTCTAAAACTGGACCGTATGGTGAAAGAAAGGAAACTAAATCGGTTGTTTCAATTAATTTGTAGAAGGGTGTAGGACTCAATGTATAAAGCATACACAAAGGTTTCTCGCTGGCTGAGATGGTTAGGTCAATTCCCAGTGAGATCAAGATGGGGTCGTTGGGTTCACATAACAATGGCGGAACAGAATCATCGTGTTCTTGTTTGATTCTTCATCAGTTATTGTCTTGCGAAGAAAAACTTATTAAATATCAGCATATTTTATTCTAATCGCTTCACCTCAAGCAATGGTGAGAGGAAAATGATCATTCAGGTCTTCATCAATGCTACCAACATTCATACTCTGACTTCCATCTTCGAAGTCCACTCAAGAACCAGCAAGAGAATGGTGAATAAGTTTATATAAGAGGGAACAGTAGAGAGGAAAACTGGATCAGGAGGTCACAACAGGAAGTGGGGATCATCATTTCAAATTAGAACTAAATACATTATATTGTTTAAAGTAGAGTCCAATAGTCATCTAAAAAATCGGAGAATTCCAGTAAGATATTGTTAATCATTTCTAAAATACAACGGTTCAAACTTAACCTAACAATTGGACAATTTTGCTGTTACACGATTTAGACAATTTTACACCCGGTCTCTCTCTCTCTCTCTCTCTCTCTCTCTCTATATATATATATATATATATATATATATATATATATATATATATATATAAAAGTGAAAACAGAAGTCAACACTTAGAGGCGAGTGCTGTTATTTTTTCTCGGCCGACAAAAATAACAGCACACGTGGCCTGACGATTGCATCTAGCATGAAACAGACTGTCGCCTCTAAGTGTTGAATTCTATATTCCCTTTATATTTACACACTCTCTATCTCTGATATTGAGCACTTTATCACATAAATATATCACATCTTAAGACTACATATATATATATATATATATATATATATATATATATATATATATATATATACACAAAATGAAGAGGTTATAGTAGTTCCAACGAGAGAAAAGTTTGTATATTTAAAATGTAGAGAGAAACCGCAAATGATTTTGGTTGTAATGTAGTTTTTTTTTTTAATATTATGCTCTATTTTCCATAATTTTGCTACACGTGTTTCTGGTCTCGCGACTGTCATCAGGCAAAGGGTGGAGATTTCCACATATTATTAAAAATAATTCATTTTTTCCTTTATGTTAATGTTATGTTTTCCGGTGTTAAATATTCTCGATATGTGACATTCTCTTTTTTGTGTGTTAGTGACCCAAGTGTCTTTCTTGAACTGGCAGTGAAAAGTTCTGCGTGAAGGGTTATAAAACAATTAAGAGTGGTCCAAGAAACGGTGAAGGAGTTATCGGCATTCTTATCTTTTAATGACCCCTGTGTTTTTATATCTATTTCCATTTTCTTGTTTTTTTGTCAGCATGCATGTATATATGTATATTCCTGTCTATATGTATGTGTATATATATATATATATATATATATATATATATATATATATATATATATATATTAAAATTATTTTCTTATTTTAAAAATACGATTCCATCACGACACAGAAATTTCTGTTTTAAGACTGAAACTAAAATTGTAAATTTAATTATAAGAATTAAACTTAAATTCCAGAGTTTTGTTCTAAGACATTTACTTAATTTATAAATGTAGATAATCTTAATATTTTGAGTTTTTAATGTTAAGGAAAATTCAATCTGTTTTGATTAGGGGTGGTTGGGATTTAATTTCCCTAGACAACTTATGTATCAAATATAAGTTACTTACAAAGTCAGGTTAAGTTTAGGTGGGGTAGATTGCCTGCTCACAAATAAAGACATCCGTTTTCAGTGTGTCGTCTGTGATTTCAATGACAAAAAAATTGGTACTTTTATTTAGCCGCTTAATTCATATTTTTCTACACAAAAATTTTCTAGAAGGGTCCTCTAAATATGAGTAAGTCTTATTTTTAATATTTAGAATTTGCTCCCACAGATTTAAAGTACCATTCCTCCTTCTAATAACTAATAGACTATACAGTATTTTTACAAATAAATATATTAGTGTAATTTCGTATTTAAAAATTATTAATTAATGATTAAGTATAAATATGAATGATTCATCATTATTCTTTTTTTTTTTCGAAAATTAATTATTATTTAAGGAAAATATTTGACAGTGCCTACAAAAAATAGCTATTTCATTTCTTTGATTTAGTACATTTTTATTTTTCAGAAATTTAATAATGTATACTTTTTTATGTATGTACAAATGACATGGGTCATTTAATGACCTACAAGCTTTAGCTTTACTTATTAATTTCCATTTTGTTGTTGTAGTTTTATTGGTTTTATTTAAGTGCCAGAAATATTTAGATAGGGACGTTTGATTTCAGTAGTTATTATTATTAAAGGACGCTTGATGTTGGTTCCAGCTTCTTTTGAATTCATTCCTTGTGCATCAAATGTGAATTTTAACTGCAAGAATTATCAACCCATCCCGACCTGAAATCGGTAGAATTAGTAAGAAAATCCTAAAAAGGGTAAACCAACAAATAAAGGATTAACTAGGATTAAAACTGGATAAATACCAAAGAAGTTACTAATTGGTCTACTTATATAATGAGAAACGAAAGTGTACACTAATACAGTTTTGAGATTGAGAATTACTACCAATCGCTATCAAAGGAACTTTTCACGAATGCTACCCAATACTCAGACATAACAGATGTAGAGAAAAATATAATTATGAATGCGAAAAAATCGGTATACATTCATAAAACAAAGAAACAAACAGGACGGACAGACACTTTCTTGAGACTGGACAATGGATATAAGGTAATTTAATTTGATTTATGTTCTTCATCTGTCCTCAGAGTTTTCAACGCATTTTTCCTTACATACGGTTTACATATATAAATATATATTTGTATCAGTGGCGACTGTGGCAGTCGGGCTTGTCGGGATCAGCACGAGTGAGCCAACATTCAAGTATAACTATTTCAAAGTAACAAAAATCTTTCGTTGTGTGCCGTTTGCACGGGATACAAATTCAAAATATATATACACATATATATATATAAATAAAGCTAAACTCATATACATATATATATATATATATATAAAATAAGCTAACTCGCATATATATATATATATATATATATATATATATATTATAATAATATTTTTTTGTTTAAAAATATGATTCCTTCGCTACATATATGTATTTTTTTCCACCTATTCTGATTGTACATTTCTCTATTTTAATTTTGAATCTCCCGTGGAAGCCTGATGAGCGGGAGCGAAACCGGTTGCTTCCCCCCCACCCTTGTTGTTGAGTTTTTTTTTTTTATTTAATATTGTTTGAATATGTCTTGTAATATTAAATTTTACACTTTTATTTCGATCATATATATATATATATATATATATATATATATATATATATATATGCGAGTTTAGCTTATTTTATCACAAAATAATAGACCGCCTAGTTAGAATCGAAGTCAATATTGAAAACATTCCTTGTCTTAACCGTACTCCACACACGTACCTACACGAATGCTCTCATAAATTATGTGTGTACAGCGGGCTTGTGGGGGGTCCTCATGTGGATGTGCCTCTGTGAATTTACTTAAGTATAGCCTTTTCAGGTAAGGTATAAGTACGCAATTGGGGAGCTTTCATGTGTGACCCAAATTCACAAGTGTTGATAAAATGTGCGCGAGTAACATGCTTTCTCTCACTCGTATAACAAGTGCGCCATACACTCACAGATGCACTCACGAGTAAGCGCGCACACACACACTCACACAAATAAATACATGCGCATGCGCAACCGCACAGGTTGTCTTGATCGAGTACACAAACTAATATCCTGATCTTATTCCCTTCATAAAATAGCGTTTCATAATTCCAATGCTGCGAACTCCCAGGAGTCGTCCTCATGTTGACCGCTTTATTCACTGACACGCCTTCGTCTATATTTTCTGTCGCAGTCTTTATCAGTTGGCACAGTGACAACAAAGTTCAACGGACCATACCCGACTCCCAAAACACGCTGTTTAACATGTGCCGACCTCGCGTGATTAAAGTCGACATTTACATATTCATGAACAGAATAAATAAATAGCTGATCGTTCGTAGACAACGGTTGCATCACGCCTAATGTCGGCCAGCTCACGGCAATTGGCCGTTGTGTCCCTCCGCGCACGATAAATAAAACGTCGTCTCGGAGTTAATTGACAGACCGGAGCGTTTCTTGTTCTGCTTCAAACTGTTCTTTCTTTCTCTCTTTCTTTTTTTCTTTAATTATTTCTTTATTTTTCTTTCTTAATCTCTTTCTCTCTTTCTTTTCTTTTCTTTTCTTTTCTTTTCCTTACTTTCTTCTCTTTCTTTCATTTTCGGGTATTCTTTCTTCTCTTTCTTTCTTTCTTTTTTTCGCTTTTCTTTCTTTCACTCATTCTAGCTCTCTTTTCTTTTCCATATTTCTTCTCATTCTGTCTCTCGTTCTTTCCTTCTTTCTTTCCTCCTTTCTTTCTTTCTTTCTTTCTTTCCTCCTTTCTTTCTTCCTTTGTTCGTTTCTTTCTTTCCTCTCTTCTTTCTTTCTTTCTTTCTCTCTCTCTTTCTTTCTTTCTTTCTTTCTTTCTTTCATTCTTTTTTCTTTCGTTTCTTTTCGTTTCTTTCTTTTCTTCTATTTCTTTCATTTTCGGGTATTCTTTCTTTCTTTCTTTCTTTCTTTCTTTCTTTCTTTCACTCTTTCTCTCTCTTTATTTCGTTCTTTCTTTTCTTTTCCTTTCTTTCTTCTCTTTCTTCCTCTTTTTCTTTTTTCTCTCTATCTGTCCTTCTTTCTCTCTTTCTTTCTCTCTTTCTTCTCTTTTCATTTCTTTTCTTTCTCTTTCTTCTCTTCTCTTTCTTTCATTTCGGGTATTATTTCTTCTCTTTCTTTCTTTCTTTCTTTCTTTCTCTCTCTCTCTCTCTCTCTCTTTCTTTCTGCCTTTCTTTTCTTTTCCTTTCTTTCTTCTCTTCTCTTTCTTTCATTTTCGGGTATTCTTTCTTACTTTCTTTCTTACTTTCTTTCTTCTTTCTTTCTCTCTCTCTCTCTTTCTTACTTCCTTTCTTTTCTTTTTCTTTCTTTCTTCTCTTCTCTTTCTTTTATTTTCGGGTATTCTTTCTTTCATTCTTTCTTTCTTTCTTTTCTTTTCCTTTCTTTCTTTTCTATCTTCTCTTCTTTTTTTTATTTTCGAATATTATTTCTTCTCTTTTATTCTTTTTGTCCCTTTTGTCCTTTTTCGTTCGAATCTTTGCCAGGTTACTCATTCATTGTATCTCACATTGATTTCCGACGTGATTTCTTCTAACAAGGAACCACAATATAGGAGTTTTGTTTTTTTAAGCACGACACCAAAGCCAGAATACAGAAATGTGATTCTATGGAACGAAGCTAAGAACATAACTGACTGGACACGTGGCCAGACATTTGGCCGACAGTCATTTCACCGAAAAAAATACAAATGAAAATAGTAACAAGCAATAATTTAAGTATTTTAATTAGCAGTATTATAAGATAGTGTTGTGGTAGGATCCACCTAATTTGCATAGTGGAGTACCGACCATATAAATATGGTTGGTACCGGGAAGAGAGGGAGGAATCAAGAGATTCAACCAGAGACTCTGCCCGACTGCGACCCAGTCAACACATTCTCCAGGAACGGTCTTACTAGGAATATACAAAAGACTATATGTAAATATTGTGTACACTTTCTTGTTTCAATACATTTTGTTCTAAGTACATTTTGTGTTGCATTATTATTCCATGCATTAGTCAAGTTTCAACACATACACACACACACATACGGTTATTATTCCATGCATTAGTCAAGTTTCAACAGATAGAATAAGACTAATAATTACTACTGAATTTCTAGTGACTAAATTACGAAATCTAAATTTAAAAACTTTTTTATTTCAATATCTGTTTATTGAAATTATTATTTAAAAATATTTGAGTGTATTTGGATAAAAAGTAGCACTTAATTATTTAAATTCATATTTAACAGTAAGATGAAAGCTAGTTCATCCTATTAAGATAATGATCATTAAAAGAGAAATTGAAAGATCTTTCATATCGTAAAAGTTTATGATTTTGCAGTAGTAAAATGTGCTTTTTCTCAAAACACTTATCATCCTACAGTAATATTTGAAGTAAAATGTAATATATATAGAATAGATTAAAAAAAAGCCTGTAAAAAATGAAAACTTATCTATTAATACAATAAATAGATATAAATATATGTAGCACATTACGATAAAGTGTGTGACATACATGTAAGTAAGCCACTACATTTTCGGCTAAATATCCATTCGGTTAAATATCCGTCGATCAAATATCCTTTGGCCAAATGTCCGAGTACCGACTGGTTATGTTAGTAATGAAGAAGTTTTAAGGAAAATGGATATGAAAAGGATATTTATGCTTAGGTTTAGAAAAAAGATAGATGCAGATTTGGGGACAAATAATGTGGAAAGAGTGCTTAGAAAATGTGACACTCACAAGACAGATTGAAGACAAGATGTATAGAGGAAAGCAGTGTATAAACTACACCACGTCTTTCTGTAAATGGTGGTCAGAATAGGGATTAAGTTTGACGAGTGAAAAAAAAAAGAAACTTTACTAACAGATAAAAAGGAGAGGAAGTCGTGAAGAGCTATGATCTCACACATCCAAAGGACTAGACAGATGGTTTGAACCCACTAGGAAAAAGTTTTATTTTAAACAACGCTTGATTTCACAAGACTCTTGTAAAACGCTTGCTGCTCCTGCTGTAATGATGAAAAGAGATTTTGCGCTTCCTATGATCTGAAAAGAAAAAGTTACCAAGGGACAAGGGGCACCTTTTCTTTTCAGACCGTCCTGAATCTTCATTTCCACTTCCTTCGACTGGGTCTCATTTTAAAGAACTTATGGCTGTTGTTACTCCAAATGTTGTTCTATTTTCGGAAAGAGCTAGAAGCATGTCCTCCTTGGGCTCACGTTTTCCACTGGCATGGAGAGACACGATTATATTGAATCAGTTTCTACGTCTGCTCCGAGGGAAGTTTGTTCACTAGGCTGTGCCTGACAATGTTTCTGGTGACAATTCATTTTACACATTTATAAGTCTGCCATTCGTCCATGCATTGAATATTGCTAACAGATCTGGTTCCCTTGCCATATATTACGAGATTCTTGACAAAATCCAAAGTGACGACTCTGGCGGTCGGGCTTGTAGGGATCAGCCCGAGTGAGCCAACTTTCAAGTATCACTATTTCAATGGGTAATATATTTTTGTCACTGTAATGAAATTGATCTTGACCTGGCATCTCGGCTTCAGTCACTTTCCCACCGCCGTGACGTGGCTTCCCTCTGTCTTTTCTATAAATATTTTCATGGCAGTTTTCTAATGAGATCTTTTCCTTGTCACCTGAACGGAATGAATTTAAGCTAGATTGGCAACTAGGTTTGTTGTACTGTTAAATTAGCTAGACGCAACCATAAATTTTATTCTGATAGGTTTATTTTTTCGCATATCTTGCCTGTGAAAATCTCTTCCGGTTTTTTTTCCTGTTATCTCATTCAGTTACGTGACTTCTCGGGCTAATGTTTTCTGCTGATATGAAGTGGAAAGATTATATTGAATACATTGCTAGGTCAGCTGCTAAGAAACTTGGTTCACCGTGCGAGATAATTTTTCTCTCTAGAATTTATCTTCCATATCTATAAGTCTACCATTTGCCCATGCTTAGAATATTGCTACCACCTATGGTCCGGTACTCCTGCTATATATTTCGAGATTTTTGAAATGTCAACGAACACTCGTGGCCACTTATGTAATGTCAACGAATACTCGTTGTCACTTTTATAATGCTCATTGTAGTAGAGACTTTGTAATTGCAGATATAACTATAGTAACGCCGTTGAGCAATACTGGTGTCAGACGCCTTCGAATATCACTCGCACAAATAGTACTTGCTCGATAATACTCTCTCGAATAGTAAACACCATAATGATCCGAATAGTAATCCGTATAGTGAGATATTCACCGATCGCCGGATGCAGCTCAAGGCCAAGTTTATTGGGCGGTATTCGAGTCCTTAGGCTCGGTCAAAATTCACCGTAGATCCCGTAAAAGCGGGTTTGGGTAGCTGTCTACCACCCCAGACGAGACTCTGCCCTTCGGCATAGCTTTGTCTGGGTTCCTCTCTGTCCGTAATAGAGAGTTTGACAAGACCACTTCCGAAGTAAATCGGATATTGATCCCTTAGACGCCACGCTAATTCCCATATATATATATTTCCTTTACCTTCAAAAGATCTTATTCAAAATGGGATCGCCTGTGTTTGCTCACTGGTGATCTGTGTTCAAACTCCAGTGTCGTCAGCGACATTTTATTTCTACATAACAGAGATTCTTGATACAATCCAAAGTCTCAGCAATATTAGCAGATCTAACCTGGCGTCCGGCTTCAGTCACTTTCCCCACCACTGTAAGATTGCCTCCCTCTGCCTTTTCTATACTTTCATGGTAATTGTTCGGGTGAGCTCTTCTCTTGACTTTTTGAATTTAAACGCAGAACTAGACTTGAGTCGAATCTCATCAGTTTACAGCTCAGCTGGTTAAATGTAACCGTAAATTCTATGTTACTACTTTCTTTTCTCGCACTCCTCGCTTGTGGAACTCCTTTCCAGCTCCAGGCTTTCCAGGCAAATTTAATCTGCAAAAATTTAAATAGATATTGGTCTATCGCAATGATGGTCTTCCCGAATACTCTTTTCTCTTCCTGCTCATTATTGTTTCTGTTCCTAATTTTTCCACTCCTTGGTTTGGTTGTTTTACGGTATATCAACCTAAATGGGTTATTTAATGCCGACAAGATTCTTATCGCTGGTAATATCTTTTCTTCAAAAATGTATTGCTGGTAATTTTTTTTTTTTCAAAAATATATTGGTGGTAACATTTTTTTTTCAAAAATGTATTGCTGATAATGTTTTTGTTTTTTTTCAAAAATATATTGGTGGTAGTATTTTCTTTCATCAAAAACGTATTGCTGGCAATATTTTTTTCTTAAAAAAATGCATTGCTGGTAATATTTCTTCTTCACAAATGTATTGCTAGTAATAATTTTTTTCTTAAAAAAATTCATTGCTGGTAATATTTTTACAAAAAAAAATTATTGCTGGTATTAATACCTATTTTTAGATTTTTATTGTGTTTTGATCCCAGCTTGGAGGTTAACTATTTGTCATAGCTGGGAAACTAACAATTGCTACCACCCAGGACTTGGGAACACCAGCTATTTAGAGGTGTTTCCTCAAAACCTCCTGATCAGATTCCTTGCTGTTAGATGTATTTATCGTCTTACCCAGGGCGCGGATGCTGTTCATCGTCATACCCAGGACAGTCCACACCTTGTAACCATTTGTGTCTTAGCGGCTTTACTGCCTTACATGAATGATACCGATAATAAAAAGAACTTATTAGTAAGTTTACATTGAATCTTACAATGTTACTACGATTTGACGTTCTTTTTTATTTATTTTTGACAATGCTTGTACGAAATACAAATCAGGATTAAAATTACGAATCAAAATCAGGATAAAAATTACGAATTTAAAGTTTGTAAGACAGTAAGCAATTAGCAGAAATTAAAGTACACGTTAGCAATAAAATTAAAAAAAATATATTAAATTTCTGATTCAGGTATGTAAGATGAAAATATTAAATGCGTATTTTTAAACATTTTGAGAAATAAGAGAATATTTCTCGAGGAATAATTTTTAGTCTTTGGTAAATTAAAGATCATAAAACATCATTGCAAAATCTAATCTCAGATTAAATCTTATTCCAATCCACTTAAAAGCCAAAGTGTTTGATTTATTATTATCTACAGCTTCATAGACACATTAAGTGGTATAATAATTGGCGAATCGAAAATCATCTTTTGCGGGGATATTTTTAAGTATAACACCCCAAGCAAGGCGGGAGTGCCACTAGCACGCGAGGGGGTTACAGAGGAATGAGAACAAGAGTAAAGAGGCGTGTTTGAGGAAAGGATATAGAGAAAGTACTTACTTGTACTTGTACTTGATGCGGCATTCACCCTGGGCGGATTGAGCCGGCTTCTTTCTGTTGTGAGAAGATTCTTGGGGTAAATTACAGAAGTAGGGTACCCAGGCCTACTCGGATAACGTTCTTGCTTGCCGCGGGGTTCCCACAGACGCAGAGACAGGAACGACCAGAAGCCGCCGGTTGCCGATGCAGACGCTCCTTGGATTTTCACCAGAGCTCTTGTTAGCCGGCGTGTGTGTCAGACCTGTCCGCCTTGGGTGGCCCTACCAGGTACGAAGTTCCGGACGGCATAGCTCTGACACTACCGTTTTACACCCCCCACCGACTGTGAGGTAAGGGTTGGACTTTGGGGGCTTACAGTACCAGGTGTTAACGATGCTTAACTTCGGTGATCGAACGAGAACCGGTGTTTTTAGCGTGATTTGACCGTAAGCATATAGAGAAAGACTGGAATCAGGATCAAGGCATCAGATGATGTCGATTGACATCACATTTGAATATTTGAAGATTATAGCTATCATGGAAGCAAGTAAAAGGAAGGGAGCTCCACTGACTGGAAGTGCGAGATAAGAAGCTGCTGGAGTAGAAAAGACGGCTACATTTAATCGTTTCGACCTAGTATCACGCTTAAATTCATGCAGTTTGGGAACCAGTGAAAGTAGCTCCTCAGGGCAGTTGCCATGAAAATATTTGTAGAAAAGACAGAGGGAAGACACAGCATGTCTGTGAGAAAGTGACTGTAGACGAGATGCCAGATCAGGACCTCTCACATGGCATATCCGTCTTTGGATTTTGTTGAGAACCTCGAGATGAACAGCGGGGGAACCAGACCATATATGGCAGCAGTATTCATTGTAAGGACGAATGGTTGATTTGCAGATTTGAAGGGTGGACTCAAGCGAGATAATCCTTCTGGAGCGACACAGAGAACCAAATTTCCTTGCGGTGCGAAGTAATAAGCTTAACCAGTTCTTTCATCGACTAAAGCCCTCGAGAACTAATAGGCCATTATTTGAGCGGGGGGGGGGGTCATATGCTTTCCTAGATTTCTTAAAAACGGTAACTACAGAGGACGATTTCCAACAAGCAAGAAGCAACGAGCCATTTCTTGTAAAGTTTGGAATTATCAGGAGCCAGCTCAGGAGCTTGCTCAGGGGCTTGCTCAGGAGCCAACTCAGGAGCGTGTTTCTTTAGGATGACGGTAGGGGTCCCGTCACATCCGTTTGCCTTTTAGAGATCTAATTTAGAAATGAAAGGAAAGGGTTGTGCTCATATCACTCAGTAGAGCCTACGTTCTAGGGGGAGAAATCCGGCAGAGGTATTCCAGATGATTCAAGAGTGGAGTTGGAAGACAATAAGACCATTATTTAGATGTTAAGTTTTAAAATTATTACAAACAAAATAAAGATGTAAGTTATCGTTAAATAATAAGCAACACGCTTTACATTAATTAAAGAAATAAATAGATTTACCTTAAAGTGGATAAACTATATCAGTACAACAACCTCCTCTGATTGGGAAACTGAAGGTTTTCAGGAGTGTAGAACCATCTCTTAATTAATGTTGTTCTATGGTCCACCCTGATCGGGAGTGGTAGCACCTGTTAGGGTCCCAGCTCTGGGCAAATAGTGATACTCCAAATAAAATAAAACTATGAAAATATAAAAATACATTTTTATAATTGTTGTAGCATACCAACGGATGATAATGGATATATCCCCATTCACATAAATACAGTAGTAAATACTGTATGTTGGTCTGCAGTCGGAGATTCCTCTCCAGCTGTTCTGGTCAAACTATCTGCCTTCGAGCAGAGAGGATCCCCAGACGAGGCTATGTCGAAGGGAAGAACCTCGACTCGGGAAACAACTACCCGAAGACGTTTTATACGCGGTTTACGGGGAAATTTTGGCCGAGTATACGGCCTCGGATACCCCACATTAAATTCGGCCTTATGCCACCTCTGACTGCATGGGGCGGTTGGTAGATATCCTGCAGTTGGATATTCGTCTCCAGCTGTGCTGGTCAAAATCTCTGCCTCTGGACAGAGAGGATACCCAGACGAGGCTATGTCGAAGGGCAGAGTCTCGTCTCGGGAAACAGCTATCCAACCCCGTTTTATATGGGGTCTACGGTGAAGTTTTGGCCGAGCCTACGGGCTCAGACACCCCATATTAAATTCGGCCTTGTGCCACATCTGACCGTGTGGGGCGATTGCTAGACATCCTGCAGTTGGAGATTCATTGTGGAATTCACTTGTCTCACTTTTAACAGTTACCTACTACTTCTACTCGTCGCTGGCGAATCTTATATATGTTGTTCTTGTCCTAAGTATTATCGTTAATTACCAGCCTTCGTGTGATTATTCTATTCAGTAAGCTTCCCTAGGTTACAACAATAATAAAAATGCTAGCAATACACTTTTATGCAAAAATGGCCAACAATGCATTTTATCTGTAATTGAAGCGATACAATTGCGTTCAGAATATATTTAATTGAAGTTATAAAATTATGTTCAAAATATTTAGTTTTCGGCATTAAGCCATGAATAAGATGACTTACCGTTAAACGAAATCGATGACAACGAGAAGTTAGTGAACAGGGAGAAAAGAATTTTTTTTTTTTAAATGGCTTAAGACATGAAAACAAATAAACTCCCACCATAAATAAAGAATTCTTTTTTCGCTACTACCAGAAACCGCCACGCAGGCTCTGATTCCATTGATTACTTTGGTCTAATAAAGGAACTGTATCCGATTCACAGAGATCGTATATGCCTGGCGAAGATCCAACACCGGATAATTTCAAATCCCACACACATGCAGTATATTTATCTTTTAAAATACAAAATTTTAGCACAAGTCCGAAAAGGAAATGGGGAAGGGGTTGGTCTTCATTAGATCTTCTTCTTATTCCTCCTCGTCCCTTCTACCTTTTCTCCCCATCTTCTTCTTATTCCCCCCCTCTTATTCCTTCTCCTCCTTCTCTTCTTCCACCTCTTGTTCCACCTTTAAAAGGAAATGGGGTGGCGGCTGGTCTTGATTAGGTCTTCTTCTTATTCCTCCTCTTCCCTTCTTTCTCTTCTCCCCCTCTTCTTCTTATTCCTCCTCCTCTTCTTCTTCTTCATCTTTTTCTTCCTCTTTTCATCCCCTTCTTCTTATTCCTTCTCCTCTTCTCCTTCTCTTCTTCTTATTCCTCTCTTCCTCCTCCTCTTTTTTTCTTCTTCTTATTCCTTCTCCACCTCCTGTTCTTCCACCTGTTTTCCGCTTCTGAAAGGAAATGGTGGGGGATGGTCTTCATTAGATCATCTTATTCCTCCTCTACCCTCCTTCCTCTCCTCCTCCTCTTCTTCCACCTCTTGTTCCACCTTTAAAAGGAAATGGGGTGGGGCTGGTCTTTATTAGGTCTTCTTCTTATTCCTCCTGTTCTCCTTCCTCTTCTCCCCCTATTCTTCTTATTTCTCCACCTCTTCTTCTTATTCCTTCTCCTCTCCTCCTCCTCCTCTTTTCATCCCCTTCTTCTTATTCCTTCTCCTCTTCTCCTTCTCTTCTTCTTATATCTCTCTTCCTCATTCTCTTTTTTCTTCTTCTTATTCCTTCTCCTCCTCCTGTTCTTCCACCTGTTTTCCGCTTCTAAAAGGAAATGGTGGGGGATGGTCTTCATTAGGTCTTCTTCTTATTCCTCCTCTTCCCTCCTTCCTCTTCTCCACCTATTCTTCTTATTCCCCCTCCTCTTATTCCTTCTCTTCCTCCTCTTCTTCCACCTCTTGTTCCACCTTTAAAAGCAAATGGAGTGGGGGCTGGTCTTCATTAGGTCTTCTTCTTATTCCTTCTCTTCCCTTCTTCCTCTTCTCCTCTTCTTCTTATTCCTCATCCTTTTCTTTTTCCTCTTCTTCTTCCTCTTTTCATCCTCTTCTTCTTTTTCCTTCTCCTCCTCTTCTTCTTACTCCTCTCCTCCTCCTCCTCTTTTACTCCTTCTTCTTATTCTTTCTCCTCCTCCTCTTCCACCTCTTTTTTCCGCTTCTAAAAGGAAAGGGGGAGGGGGATGGTCTTCATTAGATCTTCTTCTTATTCCAACTCTTCCCTTCTTTCTCTTTTCCTCTTTTCCTCCTCTTCTTATTCCTCCTCCTCTTCTTCTTCTTTTTCTCCTCCTCCTTTTCTTATTCCTTCTCCTCCTCCTCTTCTTCTTATTCCTCTCCTCCTCCTCTTTTTCTTCTTCTTATTCCTTCTCCTCCTTCTCTTCTTCCACCTCTTGTTCTACCTTTAAAAGGAAAAGGGGAGGGGGCTGGTCTTCATTAGGTCTTCTTCTTATTCCTCCTGTTCTCCTTCCTCTTCACCTCCTCTTCTTCTTATTCCTCCCCTCTTCTTCTTCCTTTTCTCCTCCTCTTCTTCTTATTCCTTCTCCTCTTATTCTCCTCTTCTTCTTATTTCTCTCCTCCTCCTCCTCTTTTTCTTCTTCTTATTCCTTCTCCTCCTCCTCTTCTTCCACCTCTTTCTCCACCTTTAAAAGGAAATGGGGAGGGGAGCTGGTCTTCATTAGATATCTAAGTTCTAATTAATCAGACTCTCGACCCATTCATTCATTACAATTTGCTCATTCCGAAAAAGAACTTATCCATCACCTTTCAATCCTGTACACACCACAATACCGCATATTCACATGGGACCGACACACACGTAGAAGTATCTCGGACCTGTTATGGCGAAAGTACGAATGAATTGTCTCAACGTGCTTCTAATCGTTTTATGGACGTCAACTCCTAAAAACCCTGGTTTTCACTCCATTAAGGGGCGTAAATGGGAACGTGGCTGTGTGGTTAGAACATTCGCTTTCCATGAGACCCGCGTTCCAATCACACCATGGTCGATTTGTTAGGAAGTTGATATCGGTCTGGAGGAGGCGATGCCAGTCAGCGGCACCTTTGGAAAACGACTGAACACCACACCACAGGGCTAAATAGTGAAAATAGGAAGACGGAACCCTTGGAAGCCATCGGTGTTTGTACAAGCACGATGTCATCGTGACCAAGATTTTGAGCATGATAGCCTTGTTCAGACGAAGAGCTCTCTCCCAGAAACTCTAATTTACACTACAACTAATAGTCGCAGTATAAACCACAGGAGGGATGTTCCTGAGCATGTGTCTGCAATGGGGATTAGCTAAGCGCCCTACTAGACTGGCAACTTCGAATTCGAGTGGCTACGCCATTAGAAGGGGAGTAAGGATGGCATGTATTGAGATCAAACAACTCCAGGAAATTGCATACCTCTGAAACGGAAAATGGTATACCTGCTCTGTCGACCTTACAACAGAATACGACCACATGAATACAGACTTCCTTTTCTCATCGATAAGAAAAGAAAACCGCCTTCCAAATTCTGACTCAACTTAATGTCTAGATTTGAGCGAGGAGCCAATCATGCGCGACTGTCAAGGACCCCAATACGGAAACATTTCAAACCTCATCAGGAGTGTATGACAAGGAGGAAATGAGAGCTCTAATCTATTTCTAACAGATGCTCCGAACACACACACACACACACACACACACATGCACACACACACACACACACACACACATATATATATATATATATATATATATATATATATATATATATGCACAGATATGAATAAATGGTCCCTGGTCAAGTAGAAATTAACTAGCATATACAAAATGACTCTTCTATGTGCTTTTCAGGACGTGAAAGTTCATGGCAATCCACTATTTCCTTTTCCTTGTAAAGCATGTCTTTATGCTATCTCTCTTACACCCGGTTATTTCAAACATATACACAAGCTCGATCTTCTTCTTCTTCTTTCTCCTCTTCTTCTTCATCCCCCACTTCTTCTTCCTCTTTTTCTTCTTCTTCTTCTTCTTTCACTTCTTCTTCTTCTTCCTCTTCTTCTTCTTCCTCTTCTTCTTCTTCCTCTTCTTCTTCCTCCTCTTTTTCTTCTTCTTCTTCTTCTTTCACTTCTTCTTCTTCCTCTTCTTTTTCTTCTTCTTCCTCCTCTTTTTCTTCTTCGTATTCTTCTTATTCATCCTCCTCTTCTTCCTCTTCTTCACCCTCCTCTTCTTCACCCTCCTCTTCTTCTTTTTCCTCATCTTCCTACTCTTCTTCTTCCTCCTCCTCTTCTTCCTCTTCTTTCTCCTCTTCCTCCTCTTCTTCTTCCTCTTCATGTTCTTCTTCCTACTCCTCTTCTTCTTCTTTTTTTCTTCTTCCTCTTCTTCTTATTCTTCCTCCTCCTTTTCTTCTTCCTCTTCTCCTCCCCCTTTTCTTATGCTTCTTTTTCTTCTTCTCCTCTTCTTCTTATTCCTCCTCCTCCTCTTCTTATTCCTTCTCCTCCTCCTTCTTCTTCTTCCACCTCTTCTTCTTCTTCTTCTTCATTGTCCCAACAATTCTCTTCTTCATGGCTCTCGATAATTTTCTGTGCGTCCTGGGTCCGACGATAAACTACATCCGGCCACAAGGCCTGTCAATCAGGATATTTTCAGGAGCATGGAATCACCTCCTAATTGCTGTTGTATCAAATGTCGAATTTATTGTATTTAAACTTCAATAATACTGTTTATTATAAACAGAGCATTGACTTAAATTTTTTATCAATAAAAAGAATGTATAAACATAAAAATGTCTAAATAAATTGTCGGACATTGTTCATTTCATAATGTGTGACGTCATTTGTTTACATTTGATACGCCATGGAGCAGATATGAATGTACGTGAGACGTCATAGAAGATTGAAGTTCAAATACAGTAAATTTGACCTTGCTAACCGAACGCTCCTCTGTGGCCAATTCGATTAAAAGCACGTCAAGCTAAATGACGGTTCTGTATGGGATACAGGTTCGAATCCTGTCGGAGGACGAATATTTTCTATGAAAATTTCTCGGATATTCAGGCCGGTAAATGTTCAGTACTGTTTATTATAAACAGAGCATTTACTTAAATATTTGTATCTATAAAGAAAGAATGTATAAACATAAAAATGTCTTAAAATAATTGCCGAACTTTACCCATTTCACAACGTATAAAAATAGATACAAGTGTTTACCCACCGTTTAACCGGTAGCTGGGTATTAAGTCATTTTTCTCTACCACCGGTAAAGCGGCAGTCAGGGCTCAAAGTTTAATATATATGTTAATATATGTTAATACATGTTAATATGCATCTTAGTACGTTGTACTACATGTTAATATACATGTTACATTAGATGAAGATTAAGTATTAGACAAAAAAATTATGCTGACGAGTGGATACAGAACAAATTATCTTCGATATATATAAATTTTTAGAGACCAATTCCATTATTTACCAAGAGATATATTTTAGACAAAAAAATTCGTTCATCGACAAAAGGCTCATTTTCTACCAATCAATGCGTTTATCTTCGAAACGACAGATTGTCCACGAATCAGTTCGTTTGTCAACCGAGCGACACATTTTCCACCAATCATTTTGTTTATCGACCAAACGACAGATTCTCCACCAATCAATTCGTTTGTCAACCGAGCGACACATTTTCCACCAATCATTTTGTTTATCGACCAAACGACAGATTCTCCACCAATCAAATTCGTTTGTCAACCGAGCGACACATTTTCCACCAATCATTTTGTTTATCGACCAAATGACAGATTCTCCACCAATCAAATTCGTTTGTCAACCGAGCGACACATTTTCCACCAATCATTTTGTTTATCGACCAAATGACAGATTCTCCACCAATCAAATTCGTTTGTCAACCGAGCGACACATTTTCCACCAATCACTTTGTTTATATACCAAACGATTAATCATTCTTCAGTCAATTCGTTTATCTACCAAACAATATCTTTTCCTCAAAATAATTCGTTATTCGACCAAACGACGCATTTTCCGTCCCTCAGTTTGTTTTTTGAAGGGACGATAGATTTTTTTCATCAATCAATCTATCTACCAAATGACATATTTGCCGCCAATCAATTTGTTTATCTACCAAATGACGAATTATTTAACATCCATTTAGCTTTAAAATTCAGAATGTGAAACTGATAAAGTCTAAACACTTCTAATACCTCGTATGCATTGATGAGTTGTAACAAATTTAGTATAGGAAATAAATAATGGAATAAGGAATAGAATACAATTTACATTTTTCGGATAGTTGTTCTCATCTTCGTCGCCATGTTTATCACAACGTTTCGGCCGTAGTACGCTCCGGCCTTCGAATGTCTGACTGAACCCTTTATTTCGCCCGCTGGGATAGACTGAACCCTTTATTTCGTCTAATGGATGTAGTTATCTCTTTTTAATTCCCCTCTAAAAGTTCTCCACTGCCTTAACCAGGTATTGAACTCCCACTCTTTAGATCTAACTAACGACTTTATCCACTATGCCATGTGTCCTTGAGGACATCCGTGTATGATTTTCTGGGCATTATAAACCTAATATCTTCAGCAAGTGCTCATATTGCAATTTTGCTGTTATCATAGAATGTTTTTACCAGAGCTCATATTGCAATTTTTGTTGTTATTAACAACTACCCTGGGTACATGGCAGCAGCTCAAAAAAACTGGGATAGAACTTTCAGAGGGGGATAAACAAGAGATAACTGACATCCATTAGACATGGCACGTGGAACTAGAACAGTCTACCCCAGCGAGCGAAATATAAGGTTTAGTTCGACATTCTAACCGCCTGAAGAAGGCCGAAGCGTACAACGGCCGAAATTCTGTGATAAACATGGCGACAAAGATGAGGTGAATAGTCCGAATAATGTAAATAGTGTATATAATACCTCATCTCAGAAATATAGACAGATACTGAAGGAATAGGATAGTTAAATGATAGTTTGTTTTTTTCTAACACTGCCAGAACTTACAAAGTTATATTAACCTCATATATATATATATATATATATATATATATATATAGCTAGAGGCAACGGGACGTCTAGCCACACTGAAGAGCTGCGATACAACGAAACAGTCTGTCTGTGGATGACAATAGATAGGCTCCTGAAAAATTCATTTCAGTTGAGCTCTCTGGGGGAGGAAGTGTTGGTTTGTAAACAGTGACTATTACCGCTATTATAGCAAGACTCTTCGGTAAATCGAATCGAGTCCTCTCAGTCACTGTGTGTTTATCTAAAAATAAATACGCTAAAATTCACCTTCATCCATGCCGTGCGCCGACGGCTTAGTGGTACAATTTCCGACTGGCGCCAATTCAGTCGGCTTTCGAACCTAGCCAGAGGCAACCGGACGTCTAACCACGATGATGAGCTGTGATACAGCGAAACAGTCTGTCTGTGGATGATATATATATATATATATATATATATATATATATATATATATATAACCTCATAACACATTATGTTCTTAAATGGACTAGTCTGAACCGAGAATCTATCTCATTTGAATGAAAGGCATTGCGTTCAATATGTGCCGGAAATGTATAAACTATAACCTTTCTGCAGCCATTTTCTGAGATTAATGTTTAAAATGGCTTCAAGAAGAGGAATCTTCTACGTTTTAATGGTAGTAAATTCTTCAATATATATTATAGAGTTGTGCTACAGAATCCAAAACAAAGAATTTTACGAAATAACTTGAAGACTTCCAAAAGCAGCAACAACTAAAATAGTTTAGCTGGGTTTGTTTAACTGCACATCAATACCTTATGAGTCTTTTAATGTCGAAATTTAATTTCCTTTGTGCATACTCATGTATGTGTGGCCATAATTACGAGAGGCGGTGATATGTGTGTTTTATGCCATACACCTTTTTAGGCTATATATTGGAATACAATTTGATATCTTTAAGACATTTTAAGATATTACATGGATTAATTTCATGGAAGAGTTGTTTGGTTGATTTCGTTTTGTGGCATATCAAGATCTATGGGTTATTTCCTGTCGAAATCTAAATATTTTGAACATAATTTTATGGCTTTTACTAAATATACCTTTAGTGTAATTGTATGCCTTTAACTACTGCATTGTTGGTCATTTTGCTATAAAATATATTATTGGTAATTTAAAAAAAAAAATGTATTGCTTGTATTTTTACCATAATACTGTATTTTTATACTTTCAAAGTTTTTGTTTTAGTGTTGATATTTGCCCATAGTAAGGACCCTAACAGGTGCTACCACACAGGGTTAGAGTGGACTTAGTAACAACAGCAATTAAGATGTTGTTCTACGCTACTCATAACCTCCCGATCAGAGGTCTTACTGCCGGATGTAGTTTATCGTCATACCCAGGACGTTTATGTATGTATGTATATGCGTGTATGCGGGCGTCTGCGTCTGCGTGTGTCTATGTGTGTGTGTGTGTGTGTGTGTGTTTGAGGGAGAGACGGATATATCAATAGAAAGGAAAACCTTAATATCATGAAGATGTTTACAGAAAGATTTTTAAAGAAAAGGTTAATAAGGAACCCCCCATTATTACTAGAGAGATCGATAACAGTTGATTTGAGCGGCCTATTTTTCTGAAAACCTTTTTTATGGGAAAGATTTTATAAATGTCAACCGACAGTGATGATACCTATTCGATCAATGAACTCCGAATATGGTTACGTTTATAATTGCAACTTCCATTAGCAAATTACATTTTCCAATATTCAGTCTTGACAGAGTTCAACGGCCTTTTCGAGTCTTTGTTGGAGAAGAATTACTTTCCACACTACAGCCTTTCTCTCTCTCCCTCTCACAGTGGGTATGAGTCTAGTCTCTGACTGCTCTATCGCTTCTTCCAAAAATGAAAAGTTCTCAGACGAACTACATTCTTTGGTTCCCCTAGGTCTAGCTATCATGGCTAGGACCCGATATGCTACTTTGCATAGTCACAAACCACTCAAATTCTTACCGTATTCCATTAGCGAGTAAGTTCCAAATCGAACAGTTTCTTCCTGCGAACTATCACTACAATCTTAACCTGTTGAAATCTAGAGTCAACCATTATCTTCCCCTCCTATCTATACCAACTAGCCATCGAACATTCTAAAGTATGTAGTAAACTTCTCCTATATATCTTATATCATTTAAGCAATACATTTTATATACTTTTTTAAATAAGCAATACTATATTTTATAGCAAAATGACCAACCATACATTTTATCTGTAGTTGAAGGCATACAATTACGCTAAAGATATATGGCAACAAAGATGAGGACTGAATCCTCTACGTTCAGTTCATTTATCTACCAAACGACAAATTCTCCACCAATCAATTCGTTTGTCAGCCAAACGAGACATTTTTCAGCAGTCAGTTTGTTTATCTACCAAACGAGATATGTTGTAACAGTCAGATCTACCAGGAGTGGCCTTGTACAGGGTGAACCGTACTGGGAAAAAATGGCGTCCAATCTGTGTCGGAAATCTGAAAACTATAATCTTTGTAAAAATATTTTCACAGATCAGTTATTAAAATAGCTTTATGAAAAGGAATCCTCTACGATTGAATGTAGTAAATTTCTCCTATATATCTTATAGACTGGCGCTACAGAATCAAAACTTTACGAAATAACTTGAAGACTTCCAAAAGCAGCAACAACTAATATGGTCTATTTAACGGCTTATCAAATCCTTATGTGTCATTCTACCAAACGACATATTTTCTGCCAATCAGTTTGTTTATCTACCAAATGACGATTTATCTAACATTCATTTTGCTTAAATATTCAGAAGTCAATTAATGAACTGTAAACACTTCAAATACATTGGTATATGGATCAGTTATTACAAATTTAGTATAAGAAACAAGGGACTTAAACAGAGCATAAACTGCGCTAGAGGTGGTTTTGTCGAACAACTCAAGATATTACAAAAACCAAACATTTGTCGGTCCATATTCTTAAATAGCATTTGCCATAACTAGACGCTCACATTAATGTCAAGCATGGCGTCCGACATTTTCAAAAATGTCTAAATTATCAGCTATGTTCAACTGCGTTCTCCGATCAATTATTAAAAATGGATTCGAATGAATAAATCATCTATGCTTTAAAGACAACAGTCCTTCATTATATATTATACATTGGCGTTAAAGAATTACAAAGAATCTTACCGAAGAACAAAATCCAGATCACTTGAAGGTTTCCACCAGCCGCAACAATTACAATCGATAGCACATATAACTAAATGAGAAAATAATCATTTAAATAAGGTTACGTACTACTTTAGACAAAAGGTTAGCAATGAATCGCTTATTATTAGAAAAACCGATAAAAGATGGTGGACTTCGGAAACTTATTTTCCTAAAAACAAAAAAAAAAAAAGAAAGATTTTATAAATTCTATAAACGTTAGCTTTTCAGTCAATAAATGCCAAATGTTTCCTATATGTGAGATAGTTCCAACATTCCCCTTACTAAATGATATATTTTCCACAAATCAATTCGTTTATCTAACAAAATGCGTATTCTAAACCAATCAGTTCATTTATCTACCAAACGACAAATTCTCCACCAATCAATTCGTTTGTCAGCCAAACGAGACATTTTTCAGCAGTCAGTTTGTTTATCTACCAAACGAGATATGTTGTAACAGTCAGATCGTGTGTCGACGAAACGATCGATTTTCGACCAATCAATTTGCCTGTCTAGCAAACGATAGATTTTCCACCAATCAAATCGTTTATCTAACAAATGACATATTTTCCAACAATCAGTGTGTTTATCTACTAAACCATATGTTTGCGCGCATTCATTCTTGCTTCCTCAACTCGAGGCTAAATAAACACTAAGGAAAAAAACACAAGTTTTCTCCATATAGATCCTGTAACTATTTTTCCCGTCGCATCGCTTATTTTTGAGTTTGCTTCAACTGTCTTCACATCACTATCACCTCCGTCCCTTCGGCCTATCCTGCTCGACGTCCTCTCTTGGCTTTCGAAAGCGTAACTTCTAATATTCAGATTTT